TGTGTGTGTGTGTGTGACCCTCAACCATATACATATCCTCAACCATATACATATATGGTTGAGGGTCAACCAGGGACATGTTGATGTGCTCTTGGTTACACATTTGTTGACTTTTTCATTCAAGTCTGATGTTTTTTGTGATAAGTGGCTTTCTGGATGAGTATTGTGACTGATCTCATTCCTTTTTTTCATTTAGGGGTCATTATCGTGCCCAGTGCAGGGGTTGGCATTGTACTGGGTGGCTACATCATAAAGAAACTCAAGCTTGGAGCTCGTGAGTCCGCCAAGCTGGCCATGATCTGCAGCGGGGTGTCTCTTCTGTGCTTCTCCACACTCTTCATCGTGGGCTGTGAGAGCATAAACCTGGGTGGGATCAATATCCCTTATACCACAGGGTAAGTGAAATACACAGGCATTAAAACCTTTCAGTGTAGGATTTGATGTATACTGCACAGATTTAGGTATCCTATTTACGTTTTGTGGTTTCAATTGTACTAGAGTTGTATAAACACTTAAATATTACAAGTACAAATGAAGTAAGAAGCATATGTTGAACAGCAGGTACAACGGCTGTTTCTTGCATCATGGCGCATTTCAATGCCCTTACATATGTCTGCACGTATGGTCTGAAAATACATTTTGATGAGTCAGTATGTGATCGATTTTGTGGTTGTTTGCTTGCAACTCTAGCTAATCCTACACGACCTTCTTAAATGTACTATACCTATTGAGAAAGCATGCTCAATTAATGCATAGTTCAGGCCTTAAAATTGTATATTTATGTGAAATTAGTAACCACTCATTGCTCTTGGCTGGATTGCTTTAACCATGTTAAGCCACCTGAAACAAAAAAAAAATATATTAAAATTAAAGATTAAGAAAAAAAAAACAATTATGTAACATAGATAGATAGATAGATAGATAGATAGATATAGATATATACACACACGCACACACACATACAGACTTCTTTTTAAACTTTATCTGAAACCAAAAATTAACTAAATAAAAAAATAAAAAAACTGGGCCTATTAAAAACATATGTAACATACTGTATATACACACACACACACACTTTTGTCCATTAATTTATGTAATTGTCCAACTTTACAGTAATATACAAATATACAATATACAAATATAGTGTACAGTATGTACAATATTGAATATGTGATATAAAAAAAGGACAGAAATAGTTTCATTTTTATTTCTTATTTTTTCCTGGTTTGGGCTCTTTCACAGTCTGTGACCCATGAGCCGTGTGTTTGACATTCCTGCTCTGTGAGGTCCATTGTTCATTTCCTGTCGTCCACCTTACAAGGCTCCATTGAGTGATATAACAAGTTTCTTGTGCTGAAGTCTGCAGTAGGGGAGTTTGCACGGTCCTGACCAGCGAGACAGCATGTTTGTGGAAGGCATAGCACAAAAGTGTGAGGCCCTTTCAACAGATGTAGAAATACAATGCATTTGTGCTCAAAGTAATGAGTAAATGCTTACATTTCACATCCGTCCAAACTGTTTCTTTCCACTACGTTTCTCAAGGTTAGCCTTTCTCATCCTTTATGTCCTATAACATTATTCTTTATAGTTAAAGGAGACACGCATGCACATTCAGAAGCTCTTATTTATTATTTAGGGTCAACCAGGGACATGTTGATGTGCTCTTGGTTACACATTTGTTGACTTTTTCATTCAAGTCTGATGTTTTTTGTGATAAGTGGCTTTCTGGATGAGTATTGTGACTGATCTCATTCCTTTTTTTCATTTAGGGGTCATTATCGTGCCCAGTGCAGGGGTGGGCATTGTACTGGGTGGCTACATCATAAAGAAACTCAAGCTTGGAGCTCGTGAGTCCGCCAAGCTGGCCATGATCTGCAGCGGGGTGTCTCTTCTGTGCTTCTCCACACTCTTCATCGTGGGCTGTGAGAGCATAAACCTGGGTGGGATCAATATCCCTTATACCACAGGGTAAGTGAAATACACAGGCATTAAAACCTTTCAGTGTAGGATTTGATGTATACTGCACAGATTTAGGTATCCTATTTACGTTTTGTGGTTTCAATTGTACTAGAGTTGTATAAACACTTAAATATTACAAGTACAAATGAAGTAAGAAGCATATGTTGAACAGCAGGTACAACGGCTGTTTCTTGCATCATGGCGCATTTCAATGCCCTTACATATGTCTGCACGTATGGTCTGAAAATACATTTTGATGAGTCAGTATGTGATCGATTTTGTGGTTGTTTGCTTGCAACTCTAGCTAATCCTACACGACCTTCTTAAATGTACTATACCTATTGAGAAAGCATGCTCAATTAATGCATAGTTCAGGCCTTAAAATTGTATATTTATGTGAAATTAGTAACCACTCATTGCTCTTGGCTGGATTGCTTTAACCATGTTAAGCCACCTGAAACAAAAAAAAAATATATTAAAATTAAAGATTAAGAAAAAAAAAACAATTATGTAACATAGATAGATAGATAGATAGATAGATAGATATAGATATATACACACACGCACACACACATACAGACTTCTTTTTAAACTTTATCTGAAACCAAAAATTAACTAAATAAAAAAATAAAAAAACTGGGCCTATTAAAAACATATGTAACATACTGTATATACACACACACACACACACACACACACTTTTGTCCATTAATTTATGTAATTGTCCAACTTTACAGTAATATACAAATATACAATATACAAATATAGTGTACAGTATGTACAATATTGAATATGTGATATAAAAAAAGGACAGAAATAGTTTCATTTTTATTTCTTATTTTTTCCTGGTTTGGGCTCTTTCACAGTCTGTGACCCATGAGCCGTGTGTTTGACATTCCTGCTCTGTGAGGTCCATTGTTCATTTCCTGTCGTCCACCTTACAAGGCTCCATTGAGTGATATAACAAGTTTCTTGTGCTGAAGTCTGCAGTAGGGGAGTTTGCACGGTCCTGACCAGCGAGACAGCATGTTTGTGGAAGGCATAGCACAAAAGTGTGAGGCCCTTTCAACAGATGTAGAAATACAATGCATTTGTGCTCAAAGTAATGAGTAAATGCTTACATTTCACATCCGTCCAAACTGTTTCTTTCCACTACGTTTCTCAAGGTTAGCCTTTCTCATCCTTTATGTCCTATAACATTATTCTTTATAGTTAAAGGAGACACGCATGCACATTCAGAAGCTCTTATTTATTATTTATTCATTTACTAACCACAGCTGTTTCAGCTCGGGTGACCTTGACGAGAAAACAGCTTCTGTTAACTGAAGCTTAAAGACTAATTTGTCTACATACAGTGGGTATAGAAAAGAATCACTCCCCTTTACAATAATCACATTTTGCTGCTTTGCAGCCTGAAACAACGGGAGGTTGTAAAAGGGAACTAGGATGTGAGCTGCTAAACTTCAAAATGACAAACCAAAGCACCATGTTATCCCTTTATGTCCTATAAGAATGAGAGATGACTATTATGGTGTGTAGTTTTATAGCAGAAGGGTCTGTCTCATTCAGTGTTTAAAGACTGGATTCCGATCGCTGCTGTTTCCGTCCATCTTGCTGGCTGTGTAATGCCGTGATTCATCCCCTCATTCTGCTGTAGATCTGAGAGGATAATGTAAAGTCAACCAGAGCTGTTGCTGATTGCTCTGTGTTTTATGTGGGAAAGAGCACTGTTTGAATTTGCCTGCCATTCTCACAGCATTAAAATAACTGATCCTTTCTGGTTTTTATTTTTGTATTTTTTATTTTTCTGACATGTTAGTGTTATGTCTTTCACTTGGATGTTATAAGTTGCACTGAGTAAATACAGGCTGGATAAAACAAATACTTTTCAGGCTGCAAAGCAACAAAATGTGATTATTTTAAAGGGGGTGATTCTTTTCTATACCCACTGTATAGTCCATACATAACAGTTCAAGGTCTGAGATCACATATTTTATTTATTTATACATGTATGTACTTCCATTTGACACCGTAACATGTTCACCATATAATAATCACTATCCTGAAATATATTTCTGTTTACTTATTTAGAATCGAAAGTATATGTGTATATTTGCAAATCCATTTGACTCCGTAACGTTATATGTTGTTTGTCATAAAATAATCCAAATTCTAAAATTAGAAAAATAATAAAGTAAATATATTTTATAATTCATTCATTCATTAATTGCAAATGTGATATATATGTATTATCAAATATATGATTTATATTGCAATTCGTAAATTTTCTTATTGGCTAATGAGTTCTCTCTTTAGCTAATGCATGAATACAGAGCCTATAGTCTAGGGTTGTCACATAGACAAGTGTGATTTCTCAGAACACCTTTTTCAGTGTTATATGGCAGGTCATATTTAATGTATTTTAGAGTATTCCAAACATTGCCTACAGCAGCTGATGTGATGCCTTTTATTCTAACCCTCTTCCCCCTCTGTTTCTGTTTTTCTTCAGGCCGACACTCACTCTGACCCACAGAAACCTGACGGGAGGCTGTAATGTGAATTGTGGCTGTCGGATCAACGAGTACGCTCCTGTTTGTGGCTCAGATGGCATCACATATTTCAACCCCTGCCTGGCGGGATGCAGCACTGTTGGCAATGGCAGCACCGGGGTGAGCCACACTGCATGTCTTTCTGGAGATGCTCCAGATTTTTTAGGACAGCACAGATCATTTCAGTTCAAGACATCCCCAACACCAAACATTGATATTAAATCTTAATCATCTAGTCGGATGTTCTGTACAGGTTCTTTCATTCCAGCTACATCTATTTACATGTAAACATCTCATCTCACTATCTTTGCCTGTTCGTCTGGGTCACTGATACAGTGTCCTTTTTATCATTGAAAAAATCAATCAATACAAAAAAGCAGGTCTGAAAGCTAGTTGGTGTCAGCATGTCTGGTCACTTTTGAGTCAGAGCATAAATTTAATGCATAAACTTTGGATCCCTGATTATTGTTAATTATAAATGTATTATTATTATAGTTTTTATTAAATAAATAAATGTAATTTGATATGAATATTTTGCATAATCACAGAATTGCATTCCAACAATGTCTTTTGAATTTTTGCATATCTGTGGTAATGTTCATGTGCATTTTTAATGCAGATCAGAAACTACACAGACTGTGCATGCGTGCAGAGCAGGCAGGTCATCACACCACCCACCAGCGGCCAAGGCAACCAGCTGCAACTGGTCATAGTGAAGACCTACCTGAACGAGAATGGATTTGCTGTGTCAGGGAAGTGTGATCGCACCTGCAACACACTCATCCCCTTCCTCATCTTCCTCTTCATCGTTACACTCATCACAGCTTGCGCACAGCCCTCCGCCATTATTGTCACTCTCAGGTAGGAAACGGTAACTAATATTTCTGATCTTTCATGATGACTTTAAAGGTGCATTTTTTCTTCATTAAAATCAGACATCATTAGTGCACTTTAAACATTTGGAATTAGTAAGACTTTTTAAAGGGGTCATATGATGTTGCTAAAAAGAACATTATTTTGTGTATTTGGTGTAATGAAATTTGTTTATGCGGTTTAAGGTTCAAAAAACATTACTTTCCACATACTGTTTCTCCTCTATCCCCCGCCTTTTTGAAACGCGTCGATTTTAAGCTCATCGGTCTGAAAAGCGAGGTGTGCTCTGATTGGCCAGCTATCCAGTGCGTTGTGATTGGCCGAATACCTCAAGCGTGTGACGGAAATGTTACGCCCCTTGCCATACTGTGATGCTGTGTCCCGGCCGGAGCGACAAGACAAAAACATTAATACCCATTATAAACTAGGCATTTGTTGCATCCAGTGAGGACATAATTATGGATTATAATGACTTATACTGTCTTTTTACGCGTTGCATCGCGCCGCGTAAACATAAAACCATGTCTGCATTTGTGATCGGAGAAATGACAAACAACAAGCCCTACTCTACACTGCCCAAAACTCGCGTTTCAATCATCAGTGGCAAATCCTTTAAATATGAAAACTTACTTACAGTCTGTGAGTCAGAACAGCTGGCATTGTAGTCTACTCTCACAGGATCAGGAAACAGTCCTCCATAAAATGCGCTGCACACATCTGAATATTTGGGTTGAACTGTTCTGGAACAGTGTTGTAAATACAACTTAACCACTGATTTCTAGTCGTGTCCTCTTTTGGAAGACCAAACAAAGTAGTTTCACTTTCACAACGAAACACACAGCAACAACGGCAAAAACAATACTACAGCGAAAATAAAAGTTACGCCTTCTTTCGCAAGGCTGCATTTATTTGATAATTTTGAATATTTAGAAATATTATTCAAAATGAAAATAACTTTTCTATTTTAATATATTTTAAAATTGAATATTAACATTTCTAATTTTCAATGTTGAAAACACCAGCTTAATTGTTTTGTGGAAACTGAGGGTGCTTTCACACTAGCACTTTTGGTGCGCACCCGGGTTCGATTGACATCAGATTTCGGTACGTTTGGATGATGTGAACGCTGTCTTCCGAACTCGGGTGCGCACCCGCGAACCGTACCCGAGTCCGCAGAAAAAAAAACATAAATGTTTGAGTTATTTCACAATAAACAAATTGAAATTGTAGCCTACATAGTTTGTGCAATTACAATTATTTAAATTGAACGTTGAAAGATAATATTGATCATGTTCTATTCTGTAATGTTAATAGAAATCATACACTGTCAGAATAAAAAGGTTGCATTTTATGCATGCAACAGCCATTCACTGGCAGTCCCTAATGGCAGTACAAAATATTGCACTAAATCAAAAGTTCAAATGTTACAAATAAGTTAGAATATTAATGTTGTAATACTGGTAGCACTAATATAAAAATGTGATGATATATGTTACAAAAAAGTAACAATTTTGAAATACGTTGATGGTTGTATTTTTTTGTATTTGATCTCAGTATTCCTATCAATGTTGTATAAGGTTTTTTTATGCATAATAGTAACCCTAGAATGTGATCAAACAGTTTAAAATAGCTGGGCTAAGATATATAACAATTTTTAAGACTGCAGAAATGTGTTAATTCAGTATACACATTATCCCACCGGTTACAATTGTGACTGACCATAAAATAACATTTTTCACACACTTTTCCAAAAAAAAAAAAAAAAATTATTGATTATTTCAAAGGGTTACTAATGACACATCATTTGGATATTTTCATGTCTGGGAAAAATTTGGGATTAAACGGGTTAAAATGCGTTTTAAACATAAAGTTAAGTGGTTTTCATTACCCATTTTACTCTTAGTAATTTAATAATTTAATAAATTTCATAATTTAAAAGTTTAGTGCAGAAGTATCGAATCGGTATCGATATCGACGATACTGCCTTGAAAAGTATCGGTATCGTATCGAAAACAAAATAAGGGGTATCGCCCATCCCTAACACACAGCACCCCCAACCGAAAACATCTTCCCGTGCCCCTGTGTGAACACAGTCCAGCGGGGGCAGGGGGAGGGGGGAGCAATCGAACTCGTGTTCGGACCAAGCAATCGAACCAAGTGTGAAAGCACAATTTTTTTCAGGATTATTTGATGCATAGAAAGCTTAAAAAAACAGCATTTATTTGAAATAGAACACTACTGTAACCTTATATATGTCTTTCATGTCATGTTTGATCAAATAAGTGCATTCTTTCTGACTAAAAATAATTAATTTCTTTAAAAAATATATCAAACTGACTAGTAGTAGATGGTATTAAACAATACAATAAAGTCATTTTCTTTTGCAGGTCAGTAGAAGAGCAAGAACGACCGTTTGCTTTAGGAATGCAGTTTGTGTTGCTAAGAACTCTGGGTAAGTCACAAATGCTTTATTTACTGGAGGAATGCAAAGCTTTAAAAACAAATTTTGGTATGAAATCCATCAGTCTTGTTTATCACTGCAGCAGAAGTTTTCATATTGCACCACCTTGTGTTCTTAAACATAAACTACAGCTCAGTGCAAAGCATTATACATTTGAGTTAGATAAGATGAAGGAACAAATGCAGCATAAAATCTAAAGCTTGCAGAGCCATAAAGTGACTCCACAAGGGAAAATCCATTGCAAATTAATAATCAAAACTTCCCTTTACCAAAATTCTCTTCTTCCATATCTGCAGCCTACATTCCCACACCAATCTACTTTGGTGCGGTGATTGACACCACCTGCATGCTCTGGCAGCAGGACTGCGGTGTTCACGGCTCTTGCTGGGAGTATGATGTCACTTCCTTCCGCTTCGTGTACTTTGGCCTGGCCGCCAGCCTCAAGTTTGTGGGCTTTGTGTTCATATTCCTCACCTGGTACTCAATTAAATACGAAGAGGATCGTCTGGAGCGCTGGCAGCGGCATCTGCCTCCTCTGGGCACCGTCAGCGAGCTCATCTGTCACGTGGGAGGTCACAAGAGCCACGCTCGTACCTGCTCCTGCCCCGTTTTCACACCCCGTCCCGAGCCCCCTGACCAGCCCCCGCTCAACCGCGGACACTGCAGCCAGAGCTGCCCCGGAAATGCCCTCAAAGCAATAACCCCACCTGCCCGCTCGCTGCAGGAAATGCACATTTGAGGAACCCTGCCCCCGCTCCTCACCCCGTCCCGAGCCCCCTGACCAGCCCCCGCTCAACCGCGGACACTGCAGCCAGAGCTGCCCTGGAAATGCCCTCAAAGCAATAACCCCACCTGCCCGCTCGCTGCAGGAAATGCACATTTAAGGAACGTGCGCCCTGACATCTGCCTCCACGTGCCTTCCTGTCGGGTGTCCTCCTCCATGATAAGACAGTGCGTATGCCTGTTTTGCCTCCGCGTGGCTTTCAGGGGCTTGCTGCGCTCACAGATCTCAGTGTCACCAGTACAAACTCGCAGCAAATACAGGTTGTGTAAAAATCATGAAGTATTTGCTGTCAAAGCGAATGGAAGACATGTCATGGTGCTAAATGAGGAACGGAGAGGACATTTCTCTGTATCCAATCTTGGATTCCAAGACTATTATATCAAAGATGAAAGTTCCACAAGCACAAAAGGATATCAGTACTATGCAACGCAGTACCGCATTACAGCCTCCAGGCAGATGCTTTCTACTCTATTATCATTAACAACAGTATTCCCAACAGCAAAACATCTCACATGGTTTTTATAAACAGGTCTGTGAAGAATGGTGTTATCAACTCGCTTCTTGTTAGTTTGGAGGGTTTGGTTATCGTCAGTGTGATTTGGGTGGTATTCAAGGAGCCTCCTCCAGATGGGTCACATAGTGCTGTATGTAAATTCAGTGCCTCAGATTGCCCCATCAGCAGTGAGGTCTGCTTGCTAACAGGCTGAGCACTGAGTGGACTGCTCAAATGCATTTGGAGAAGGACTTCGAAGCCTTGTCTTCTCATTCTTCATCTTCATAATCATTCTGCCTGTCCAGTGATTGACTCTCAAATGGCCATATGTGTTTTGATGCATACTGCGGGTGTTTTGTTCAGTGGTCTAGTATCAGGTCTCGAAGAAGTCAGGCTTTGGTCAGATCAATTTGATGGATTTTTTGGCGAATCCGTATTCAAACCGGTTTTGTTTTTTTGTAAGTGTGAACAGCAAAAAAACACATGAAACCTGAAGTTTAAAAACCCAATCCAAACCACATTAATATCTGGTTTAAAATCTGATTGAAATCTGTTTTTTTCTTTCTCAGCATGAATGGTAAGATCAGATATGGAATGACAAACTGCATTTGTCCATTTTTCTCACTCTTTCCTTATATACACTCTAAAAAAAATCTTCATTGGCATATGGTTTCAAGAAGAACCTTTAACATCCATTGACCTTTCCATTGCACAAAATGTTTTTTCAAAGTGGCAAAAGGTTCTTTAGATTATTAAAATGTCCTTCACAATAGGAAAAGAAATGGTTCTTTTAAGAACTGTTCAATGAAAGGTTCTTTTGGGAACCCAAAATTGATCTTCAGTGGCATCACTGCGAAAACCCCTTTTCAGATCCTTTATTTTAAAGAGTGTATAGTGAAGTATGTGACTCTAGTGCATTAGTGATCAAGTCAGTGATTTTGGACAAAGTATGAATTCCTAAATGTCTCATTTGGTCAAAAGCTTAAGAGATATCATGATAGATATGAGCCGAGGCTAAACTTTTAAATTTTCATCCTCCCTTTCCACTCTTAAGGCACATTCACACCAAGAACGATAACTATAAAGATAACTAGAACAATATTGGTGTCCACACCAACGAACGAAAATGTTCTGTTTATTATAAGTGCGCACTGCAGTTTTGTCATGTGCCACTTTAAACATTCATGCTATTTAAAGTCGGGTGGATTTTGATTGGCTGCCGATGTTTATATAATGTAAAACAGATCATTCTGAAAGAGATTTCAATGATATTGTTTCTCTGTGTAGTTAACCGTTGTGGTGTGACTTTCCTATTTTCATAGAAGTAGAATTTATTAAAACTTTATAGTTATCGTCCTTTGTGTGAACAGCTATGAATTATACAGTCTCTTGGCGTCGTGCTGACATCATCATTACTATAGCAACCAATGTAGATCCACCCAATATAGATTTCATCACCGGTTTGATCACAAAAGTCAGATTTGAAAACCAAATCGTATGTGTAGTGTGAACACAGCGATTCAAACCCAGATTCAAATCAGTCGACCGCTCATGCTGCTGCCGTGTCCAAATGCCTGAGCATATCTGAGCAGCTTTAGCGATAGCATTGGTAAAGCCATAGCTGAATGAGAATGCATTCTCCACTTTGGTTTGGGAGCTGTTGACATACTGTATATGAGCATGTGCTTCGGCTACCGGCAGATCCTCAAGCACTGGCTCTATTCTTATGCACCAACTATATATTATTAAACTTCTGCCTAATAATATGCAAACCTCAGATTTTCAGTACTCTGTGATGGGTTTATAAAGCTAGTTTGGCAGTTACTTTTGATCAATACACATACAGAAGTCATGGAGAAGTTTTTAGCCATGTGCAGTCATTTACATAGGTATTATTTGGTTCAGTTATGATTAATGAGGGACTAACATGATGTTAGTGCTTAGCATGCAAACAAAACCCAGCTTAGTCAATGAAAAAAAAAATGGAGACCATGCTTTATTAATTCCATTCTTTTACATATCTCCAATTTAAAATGATTTTGTAAGCTGTGCTGTATTATGATCACAATTTCAAAACCACAAAATGAGTGCATACTCTTTCCAGACCTCTTAGTGTCAGTGTTTTTCATAAAATATCATGTTGAAGAGGTATTTCAGGTGCTGACTTCAGTATTAGAATGTGACATTTAAAAATTGGGGTGTAAGATGTGAAATCAAGCCCTTCTGTGAATTTGAAATGGCTTTTTCCATGTTTGTGAACTATAAGGTGATCAGTGGTGAAAGTCTGACTTCTTTACAATAATCAGGAGCACCCCATTAGTTTGGCCTACAATGTGAGCTGCTCAAAATCAATCTGATGAAATCGTTCATGTAGTGGCTGCAAGACAGTCTAAAATACCAATAAAGGATCTTGAAATAGACAAAGTAAAAATGAATTTCAACATGAACATGTTAATGGAAAGAAAAAACAAATGCAAAAACTACAGAAGCCCTAAAGAGCAGGGTTTTTAAAATTGTATTTTAATTGTATATACTCCCCGAGTACCCTGTTGTTTTTTTATGCTACGTGACAACAACAAAAAATGGGCAAAATGTTTTGGGGTTTTTTTGTTTTTGTTTGTTTTTTAAGTGAACAATTTTTATTTTGTGCCCATTTAGTCAATAGACTCATTTGCATCTAAATGAGAAAGATAGCAAAAGTTATTCCTTTTAAAAGATCATCTCACATTTGAAGTCAAATGAATGCGTTGGTGTTTTTCACTATCAGCAGGGCTGATTTCAGATCAGTGTAAAGGCTAGCTGTAATTGTCTATCATCAGTACTCATGGATACGAGATGTCCTGAACTCCCTCATGTGAACTATTCATCTAGACATTTAATTCTGTCTTGGTTCTTCAATATTTTGACGTATTTATTGAAATAAAAGAATTTAGAAAGAAGCGGCAAAGGAGACATCAATGTATCATGTGTGAAGTTGTTTTCAAATACCTTGAATTCATGTCATTAAAAACAACGGTTTCATTCTTCGGACTCCAGTGGCATTACATTTTTTATATTTTATGTTTTTACAATTTTCATATATTTTATAAGGAATCGTTTTTTTCACATTTTTAATGATGAGAAATATCAGAGTTGCATAGTTGTATGTCTTTAAAGCAGGTTGATTGATTGATTGATTGATTGAAAAAAATCTTTGCAATCAAATTCAAAGACAAAGAAAAAAAATTAAAAGACTGGCCTTTAAGGCAACTTTCTATAATTAAAATATATATAGAATATTAATGGTCGTATTTTTGATTTACAAACTGCAAAAACAAAGTATGAAATCTTTTATCATCACCCACGTAATCACATACACAAAAGAACAACACAAACAATAGCAGCTATAAGAAAAAGCTTGACTTTTATTTTGAAGGGACAAACTACTGTCAAATGACTTGAATGAAATGAACAGCTTTAAACTGTTAAGCGTGAAAATATATAATATGAAATAACTGCTTGGTTTTGTCTTCAGTTTCATTGAAGCGGAAAATATATACAACAAAAAAGGCAGAAGTAAGAAACACTTTGAAAAGCATCAGAGCTCAAAACATACATCAATCGTGACTAATAAATACAAATCATTTCAATTTCATCGCGATGAGGTGATACATCTTTACAAGGGAATAATAAGCTGGACTCAAATGAATGAAGCTATTAGCTTCAAGAACAGCACGTGAAGGCAAAAATAAAGCAAATACATTTCTGATTGTGCAGTTTTTGCTCTAAACGCATGTAGTACTGAGACAAATGAATGGGTCTTGCATGCAAATGCTCCTATCGGGTCAAATAGTTCTGCGCCGACAGCAGAAGTCTGGATGGACAGATATGTACATCAATTCATTTCCTCAAAACTCATTCAGAAACATACAAACTTAAATGTCTTCACTGTGAAGTGGAAACTATATGGGCAAAACAAATTTGCATAATATGATACACGTTGCATAATATATGCAGGTTTTTATCAACAAAACGTTTTTGAAACTACTAAATTTATACCCACAATTCACATTGTCAGTTGTGTTCACCCAACTAGTAAGAGTACAATCAAATTGAGCTTGGTAAATTTGTTTAGGTAGTTACATCGTAAGTAAACCCCCACTTTATGCCTGGCCAGAATACATTTTTCAAGCATAGATTTAGCTCTATTAATATATTACAAATGTTTCAATATTTGAAGAACAATGTGGATTTCATTTCTTAATAAAATAATTTGTCAATAAACAGATTAGAATTCTCTCAAATCTACAAAGTACAAAATGTTAATTCTCTATATCATAGGCAATGTCATCGGAATCTGATTTTTAATCAATAGGTATGTTATACAGCATCATCTCGTTCATTAGACAGGAAACAGCGGCTCCTCGTGTTAACAGGCACAAAGACTAATCTTTTCTTTTGTTAAACACACCTTTCTCTTTATTGCCCAAACCATGAATAAATTAAGTTCTAATGCTGAAATGCTAAACGTGAAATAACTTAACCAAAAGTGTTACTTCATAGTAATAGAATAGATTATTAAATACTTTGCAGTTGGTGCCCCTTCCTCCACAGCTGAAACATAAAGATGTGCTTCACACAGGTTAATGTAGGTGAGAAACGTGAAC